ATACCTTCCTGGACAGTTATCCTGCCAATTGTTTAATGTCCAAGAAACAGACTCTTCTAAAGCTCCTTACATTACTGCCTGATGCCATATTCTGTTTGCACAAAGCAAATACAGACAAATAACAATCACTGGTACCTAGGCAACGGTGGGATTTCAGGTCGGCTATTAACTCTTCTTTATCTGCTAGAACAAGGTCAACTATTGATTTATTCCACAGTGGGTGCAGAACTGTGTGCATTAAAAAATGACCTATTCCTTCCAGAAGCTTTCTGGAAGTCTTTTTAATGGCCTCATGAAATGTCAAGCAAATATTACCTGTTCTAAGCAGGCCATTTTATTTGCCTCCCTGTAAGATGCATATGCATAAGGAAATGTTTGCTCCTATCCTGAGGATATTTCAGGGACCCGTCAGAAACACCTAATAGCTGAGAAATGGTTGGAAACCAAATAATTTGAATTTGGTAAGAAATCCTTATGTTTGCCCCTCTCACAAATCGTGCAAGTTCAAAGAGCATTATGTAATATCCATTTAATCACATATGGGACAACATGTCTGAAGTCCCCCTCTGCTCCAGTCTGGACAAAAGCATTAGATAGTTTCTGTGCCTCAAGGCTGGGCTGACCTCTCGCGTGCTGTTGCATCCTTGAGGGGACTTCTTTACTCCCTCCCTACCATCACATTTATTTCTTCTTCCACAGCTTCACTGTCTACCCAATTCCTCTCTTTATACAGTAGCTTGGGAAAAACACTCCAGGCAAGGATTTTGAGTCTCTCAGATATGACGTTGAAGAGATGTGACCTGACACACAGAAGGGAGAGGGAGAAGATGGGGGTTACAGGCCAGTCACAGCTCAAGACTCACACAACCGTGAGTCCCCGTTAGGAGAAAGGGTAGGTTTCAGTGAGTCACCCAAAGGAAAGCATCCTGATCCTGAAAAAGAAATAGGAGCAAGCAAGATTTAGAGAGAATTGCTCTCCTGCTTGAGGCTATGAGCATGGTAAGAGAAGCAGCACTGAAAGAAAAAGGAAGATGCACAAGGATCATTATTTCCTTGGCAAAGTAGCAAAGTTCTCTATTACCAAAAAATGGCACATGGGAGTTTTATGCCCCAGAAGATGAAGGGTCAGGTGAACTAGCAAAAGGTTTTACAAAAAATATACCATTTACGCAAGTTAAAATCACATCACTGTGCTGGAGCTTGAGATTATGTTTAGAGAAAAAAATAAACAAACAAAAATAACTTGAACACATAGTGTTATTTTCCTATCCCTTCCATGTACAACAAGGGTACCCTATGGGCCGAAAAAAAGGACAGGAAATCTTAAGGTAAGTAATTAGGCTGCATTTTCTACAAATCACTACTTAGGACAGCAGTTCATTTAAATTGCCTGGGTCATCCAATCTGTAAAGCAGAGGCAAGAGTCACTAGGACAGGGATGTCCTTGTCATTTCCATCTCATCCATGTCTCCCACACCAGGAGCACATGGAGGAGGAGCATCAAGGTGAAGGAGTGTGAAAAGGGCTAGTTGTCAAGCCAAGCGCCAGTCCCAGGAGAAGGGACAGCAACGTGTAAGTGATTTATGTAAGCGATGCAGCTCCCAGGAGAGGGGAGCAGCAGTAGCAGAGAGCAGGACGTGATAAATACAGATTGTAGCAGGTGGTCCAAGAACTGTCTGTGATTTCAGCAACCATTTATCCAAACCGGATGGAACTGCCTACCACACAGCCCTGCAACAGCAAAAAGCAAGCTAAAAAACCACAAAAGCAGAGCAGGCGACTGAGAATATTCAGCAATCACAGATTGCCAGGAGATGAGTTTCATTATGAAAACATTCCAACAGATGGCAAAAGTGTGACAATCTAAGGTATGAACAACACGGAAGTAAACCTAATCCTCCTGCAACAGAATCACAGACTCACTGTTTTGGCTGGCAATTAAGTCCAGAGGTTGCTTATTGTAACCCTTGCTCACAGCAGGTCTAAGAAGATCTGGCTGGCCAGGCTGTGTCAGTGAAGGCACACACCTTCAAAGATAGAGTTTCCACAATCTTCCTGGGCAACATTTTCCACTATTTAAGCATCCTCACAGTAAAAACAAAATTTTCCTGATATCTAATTGATATATCAAAGGCAGAGAGGCCCTGCAGAGAGACCTAGACAAACTACAGGGCCGGACAATCACCAACTATACAAAGTTAAAGAAAGACAAGTGCCAGATTCTGCACTGTGATGAGGCAACCCTGGATGTTCATGCAGGCTGCGTAATGAGGTGCTGGAAAGCGGTGCCATGGAAAGGGACTTGGGGGTCCTGGTAATGGCAAGTTGAATATGAGTCAGCAGTGCCCTGTCAGCCAGGAGGGCCAACCATGTCCTGGGGGGCATCAGGCAAAGCATCGCCAGCTGGTTGAGGGAGGGGACTGTCCTGCTCTGCTCTGCACTGGTGAGATCTCAGCTTGAATATCATGTGCAGTTTTGGGCACTGCAATATAAGAAAGATATTAAGCTATTGGAGAGTGTCCAAAGGAGGGCAACAAAGATGGTGAAAGGCCTTGAGGGGAAGCTGTATAAGGAGCAGCTGAGGGCACTTGGTTTGTTTGGCCTGGACAAGACAAGACCGAGAGGTGATCTCATAGCAATCTACAACTTCCTCACAAGGGGAAGCGGAAGGGTTGGCACAAATCTCTTCTCTTTGGTGGTGACCAATGACAGGACCCAAGAGAACTGCATGAAGCTGTGTCAGGGGAAGTTTAGGTTAGATATCAGGAAAAGGTTCTTCAATTAGAGGGTGGTTGGACACTGGAACAAGCTTACCAGGGAAGTGGTCACAGCACCAAGCCTACCAGAGTTCAAGAAGCATTTGGACAACACTCCTAGGCACATGGTGTGATTCCTAGTGGGTTCCTTGCAACTCAGGATATTCTATGATTCTACTTCCTATGTTCCAACTTGTGATTGTTGTCTTTGTCTCATCATCAGATACCATTGAAAATAATCTGGATACATCTTTTCTGTATCCTCTGATCAGGTAGTTGCAGACAACAAAAATAGCCCTCCTCTGCCCTTTTATTCTCAAAGCTGCAAAAGCCCAGACCTCAGACTCCACTCACATGCCAAGTTCTGCAGCCCCCTGATCATCTCAGTGGTGCCCACTAGGCTTCCTTCAGTATTTCATTTAGATGAAGTGCACTTCTTGCACTGGAGATCCTCCACTGGACAGAGTTTTCCAGATGCAGTCCAACAGCTCCTGGAGACAGGGAAAGGATCCCTTCCCTGGGCCTGCTGGCTACTCACTAACAAGGCCCAGGGTGCCATCCGCGCCCCTTTGCATCGAGGGCACACTGCTGCTCATGTTAAAGGGGTTGTCCATCAGGATCCCACATCTTTTACTGCAGGGCATCTCCCTAGACAACCAGCCCGTACTGCTGCAGGGGTTATTCCCCCCCAAATGCAAAGCCTGAAATTCAGTTTTGCCAAGTATCTTAAGATTTCCCTCAGCCCATTTCTCCAGCCTGGCCAGGTCCCGCTGAATAGCAGCCTTGCCTTCATGCATTTTGACCACTCCTCTCCATTTGGCCTCATCCACAAAACAGCTTCTTATGGACACAAAAAGTTTCAAGAGCAAGGAGCAGAGATCTCTCACAATATATAGCAACTGGGGCTTTTGTTAAGACCATCAGTGAAATTTTTAAATTTCTGCATGTTTTGTTCGCTTTGTACTGTCCATGCTATGAACAAATAAGCCCAATTCTTCTCTCATTTATAGGAGTCTGAGCTTGAAGTCCATGAATTTGACATATTTACAATATTGCAACACTACTCTGCATGTGAGTGTGTGTATGTGCACACATGTACACCCACAGAGATGGCTCAGGAGATACAACAACTGAAACAGGAATACTGCAGAATTTGGAGGAGCAGCTGGATTTGCAGCTAGGACCAAGGTATACACTCAAAGCCTAAAGTGACAAGAGGAACTCTAGGTTTCATCTTTCCTGACTTGAATTCTCTGGACTGTATCTTAAACAGGCTGTTAACTTAAAAGCTAATCAGAAATATTTTTTTAAGACTGTAAAAAATGCCATCAACCAAGGATTATATTGTAATCATATCAACAAGTCCAATACTCCTGATGATGATGATGATATATAGATAACTTCACCTCAGGGTTAGGTCATGAAGCATCTATAACATTTATCTCTGTGTTCACAAGGAATGAGTCACCACCTATACTCATGTAAACAAACTCTTCCTTGAAGAGCTTATAAATTGAGAATCATGAATAGCATACAGGGATTAGGGAAGACAAACTATTTGGTCAAAAGAAACAGAATGTATATCATACGCAATGTAAAATACCATCTGACTTGCACTAGCTTTTCCACATGCAATTGCTAGGTGGCAAATACCTTGCAGCAATTTTTCATCACAGAAATGGATCACGGAGGAGGACATAAATATTTCATCAAGTTTCTATGCAACTGAAAAACAGTCCTTTGCAAGGGATACATTAAGTCAATGTTTAATCCAAGTCTTTACTCAGAAAGAAGGTGAAGTTTTGTTTTGGGTTTGTTGGTTGGTTTTTTTCCCCAAACCAACTGTTAGATTACACTGAACGTTGCTGCCCAGAGAAGCTGCGGATGCCCCATCCCTGGAGCTGTTTGAGGCCAGGCTGGATGGAGCTCTGAGCAATCTGGTCCAGTGAAAGGTGTCCCTGCCTATAGCAGAGGTGTTGCAATTAGATGATCTTTGAAGTCCCTTCCAATCCAAACCATTCCATGATTCTATTAACAACTTGACAGGAAGAACACTGTTACAGTTCTCGTGTATTTACCAGCCAAGTTAAATGCTACCAATTGTCCTAGTCCTGCAATTATTTTACAGTGTGCTGACTAAATTGAGGGGGACAGGCTTTTCATTCACATAAGTACACCAGCACCAGGTGTCCCACCTGTGGGAAAGGAGAATCTGTCATGCCCTAAAAGGCAGCGATAACTTACCCCAAACATCTGCCGAAGGTCAGGATCTCGGAAGCGGAAGGGAATGTTAGACACATGAAGTCGTTTTGGAGTGGATTTGCTCTCAGTATTCTCGCTGCTCTGCGTCTGTGATTGCTGTCCATCTGTCTGTGCCCCTCCTTCTGTCTGCTGAAATCAGAGAGACAAAAGCACGTGCATGAGTAGAAACCATAATTCTCACATGCCATGTCTACTTTTTTTTAGGTATTAGCACTACACTTGTAATTGCACTACCTAGCACTTGACAACTATTTTGATAAAGCCAGCAGCCCTTAACAATTGATTTGTTGTTCTTCCCCTCCCTTTCCGTGAGTAAACAGTAATGAGATCTCAGCCTCCCTCCCCTCGTATCACCTATCAGCTTAGTAGAGTTGTCTTTGGTTTTCTTAAATTGCTTCTCTCTTTTAGCCTGTTCTTCCTCACTTCAGCTGCCACCATATGAAAGCTCTAATGAAGAGGCGGATCTTTCATATCCTGAAGCTGGGAGGTAGTACCGCCACTCTAATCTCATGTGGCAGGATGTTCATACAATCATCAAAATCCCACAGCTGAAGTGGCAGCTCTTCACTGGGCCAATACCAGACGTGCATCCCCAAGCAAAATGGCATCTGCTCTGTCAAGCTCCCTTCAGAGAAACATTACCCCAAAAGAAGATCTATAATTAAATGGTAAAATCCATGTATGAACAGATTATGGATGCCTTTGATTAACTTTTCTCGTACATTTAAGTGAGCCCAGGAAGAGAAAACAGTCATCATCATCACCACAAGATTTATAAAAATTTCAAGTGCTACTTTCTGCTACCAGTTCCATAGCTAAGAAAAGGTATTTGTTCCACCATTCTCAAGCACTGACTGGCGTTGCAAAGCAAGGCCAAAGGGTAGGCCAGGAGTTCTTGTTCACAGAAAAAGTACAGCACACAGGCAGAGGAATAAGGGGGACCTGTGTGCCAGAGGAGAGACCTAATGCCCCGCTGAGATAACTGGCAGAAGAAAAGAAAGGAAGAGAACCTCAGCCACTTGTGTGGGCTTAGACTGAAAAGGGGTAAAATTTGAGCACAGCACTAAATATAACGGCAAGGCCCCTTTGCAAAATGGCTTGATGGAAAAATGGCATTCTTCACACTTTAGTCACAAAAACGAGCTCAAAACCTCAGAGCTACAGAACAAAGCAGACTACAATTTGGTCGGTTTTATTGCTCTGTCCCTTTCCAAGCGCATGCACTGACAGGCCAAGGTATTCAAAGAGCACCCACCCCCTCACTATCTCCTGCTGCTCTCAGTCTCCTAGGAGTCATGCTTTGACTACCTGTGTGATGCACTTTTAAGTGTCATTTCAACTCTTTAGACGCCAACCTGACTTCTGCCTTAACTCATCAAGTAAAAAGTTCTACAAGAAGGCAAGGACTGTGCAATTGCTAGAGTCAGTCTTTTTAAGGCATTTTCAAGTACACACATAGGCCTTAAAGATGGAAGAGTCGGGGTGAGTTTTTTACTGGTTTGGGCCCTTTTTTCCCCCATTTTAAACATGTGATTTGTGTATCAAAGATGAAAAAAATCTGAGGGGAGTTGCCCACAACATCTCCCCAACCACTGAATGTACTTGCTAGGCTGATCTGCACATCACTCAATATACAACACTTCACGTACATTTGGAATCATCTCCACAGATAAGCTCAACCGGCAACATTAAGAGTGTCTTCTGCCCAGAAATATCACTTACAGACATGACCTTGAACTTGCACATTGGTTATAAAGCAAGTAAATATAAAGATAAGGCAAGGAAACAGTAAGCACTGGGGTCTTGTCATGCTGAGCAAAGCAGTGGCAGCTTTCCATCTCATTTCGGGAGGGCTGTGCATTCAGCAGCACAAAACACGTTTGATCTGGTTAACACAAATTAGGCTGTGGCAGGAAGAATGAAGATACTGCCCTGGTGAGCATCTCTACTTCCCATAGCTGTGCAAGTCTTAGGTGAAGCCTAGCAGAATGAAGAATTTTTATTTGGCTAAGACTCATCCATCCCACAAACATAAAATTTTTAGGAACAACCTCAGAAACTTCCATTTGCTCTTATCCAAAAGCTGTCTCCACCCACCCCCACTATCTCCCCTCTTCTCCTGCCCTCAACCCCATGACAAAAAGGTTCTCCAAACATACAGAGAGTGCACCCTAGGGGAACAATCAGTGCAGCTGGCCTGCGATTAAATCAGACCATGCTATTTAGTGGGGGTTTTTTTACTCCATCAGAGTGCTTTGCTCCTCAGGGCAAATCTGTCCAAGAAGGACAAAACACAGGAGTAGCCTATCTATCACCACTGTATACAACACCTGCAAGTGAGTTCTTCAAAGTAACTCCCAAAAAACACCAACACTCCTGCTAAAAGGGATATCTACTATCCACTTTGGAGCCCTGTTAGTGCAATTCGCCAAATCCCATGTTTTCTATGGCTTTCCATGGATTTGGCAAGTGAGCAAACACCCATGCACAAAGTGCATCTTCTGCTGTGTGAATGAGGAAATGCACAGATCTTGAATGGTGATGACAAAAATGTTTTAGTCTTTAAATTTAAATACAGGTTGCACAGGATTGGATCTGCTGTTTCCACAGGGGAGGAAGCCAGGATGTTGTCTGCACTCCTCTCCCATCCATTTGTTCCTAGGCAAAGGGCAGAACTCCTTTCTTGCCAAGGGTGTGATGTATCATGTAGAGTGGCCCACCCAAAAGCACTCACAGCTGGTCCTGCATATGGCAGTGTCATTTTGCATCATGTGAGATGTGTACAGCAAGACAAATGCTTCAAAGAGGAGAAACAATAGAAGGAACAGGGGATTTTGGTACTTTACCTTTTTAACTACACTGAGAGTCCTCAAATGCTTTTCAGGTTTTTACATACCCTGATTTTTCAGTAGAAGTTTAACATTAAATACCTTGTGTCTCTGGATGCTGTAGCTCCCTCATCTCTATGGTCCCATGGTCCTAAGGTAAGATTTGAACTTTCCACCACTATAACATTAGCTCAATACATATGACTACTGCCACACATTCAGCTACAACATAAATGAAAGAAACAGTGTCCTCAGATCTTTCTTTTTTTCCTTTTATAGTTATTCCTTGGCTTAATTCACTAGGAAGGAGATGAAAGGAAGGGCCTGGAGTCTGTTCTAAGGCAGCACATAACAGATGCTGGCAACAGTGCTACTCTGACCAAGCCAGACTACAAAAGCCCGCATTTCACCAAGCGCCCACTCCCCACCTTGACTCCTTCCCCATACGGAGTTTAATCTCTTTCTGGCCTCATGTCAACACTTCACAGTGAAGAAATGGACCTCTCCCTTTGCTATAGACAGTGATTCAGCTCGGAAGGGAGCTAACACACATTCAATGCCTGTCATCAGGCAACACAGAGACATGCTGTGGCAGAGATCTCGCATTTAGGAGCTGTACTGCATTCTCCGTACCTCCTCAGCACAGTCCGTGTAACATATACTGATGCAGGTGATAATGTCATTCATGCCTGCACACGCAAGCTTTGAGCTCTGCTCAAGGTCACTGAGAAACACATCAGAGCTCAGGACACGAGCAGCATGTGCTTTACTTTTAACTACTTGCTGCCTGTGCCCCCATGCCAGCTCCTCCCTTACACCCACCAGCAGTAAGGAAACGCTACGCAAGAAGAGGCAGCTGCAAAGAGAAGCACAGATATATACATGTGCACGTGCCCATGTAAAAGGGGAGGAGGACACCTGGCAACATGAGGGTGGTCTGAAAGGTTTGGGGGCATCTTCCCACCTCTCAGCTGGACTCCTCTGTCCTAACCCAGGTGGTGATCAATTAAATGCTGGGGATTTCTCCGCAGCAGCAGGGAGGATGGGGCTCCAGCACCACCTGAGCTCCGAGCAGATCTCCATCTGCATGGCTAGACGGAGGGCTACCTCCCCAGCAAACCAGACAAGCACCAGTGTGACAGGCTAGCACAGAGATTATTAATACCCAGAACATTCTGTTTACATCTCCCACTTGCTTCTAGAACTGGAACCGCTTCAGGTCCAAGTTAGAGACAAACAAAAAACAACCCCTCGTTCTCTCCCCCAAGAAGCAGGCAGTCCAAAATGCTGTGAATCATAATGAGGAGGTTAAGAGCTATAAATCACTGCAAAGAAAATATTTACAAAATACAAACTGTAACTAATAACTATATTTAAAAGGGGATTTGGGTGGCTTACAAAATCTAGGAGACAGCCTGTGCTCACTCCACTGCTCCTAGACCAGTCTTGAATTCAAAAAAACCCAAAACCACACATCCAACCTTGGTTGGATCAAGAGCTTGAAGGACTCTGGAGACAAGGACTGAAAGCTACAAGTGGCAGAAGGCAATCTTCCCATTGTGAAGCAGAGTGCAGATAATGTGGAAAACTCTCTGTAACTTCTAGTGAAGAACCTGTGTCAAAACAACCAGTCATCCACCAATGAACAGACGCCCACTGAGCAGGTCTGGTGGAAAAACGAGTGAAGAATTAGGCTCTAGACACAAGATCACTTTCCTGCCCCAGCACAATCTACTGAAGTCAGACTGAGGTCCTACACATCCAAGAGCAAAGGCCATGGGAACTTTGGCTGCTTAAAAAACTCGTTTAGCAGACAGAAGACCACAGGGCTAATCATCATCTTTCAACAGCAGTAAATATAGTTTTACAATTATATCCATGCACTTGATTTTTCAGAGATGTCAGCAGCGTTATATTAAAAAAAAAACACGTTTGGGCTACTTACAGGCACAATTAACTATTATCCAAAGTACTCTGTATGCCAAAAAACCAGACAAAAAAATGCTAAGGACATACCAAATTACTTCTGCAAGATTTTTTTACTATTTTCAGTATAGTCAGATGAATTCAGGGCATATTTTTTCAATTCTTAGTTACCTATTTTCAGACACACTGAAGCTTAAGTAATTTTGTTCACTTTCCTCATTAAAAACATACCTCACAGAACAAAAACCTAACATAGGAAAGCACACAGGAAACTTTGCTATCTCTCCTGTACATCTCTGATTTGTCAGGTAACACTTTCAATCTAAAGGTGGATATTTCTAATGGGATTCACTTTTTCTTTTTTCTCCCCACCTT